GATGTTACAAAAGGAGAGGACTGGAGATAAGAGGAAAGGAAAGGATGTGAGAGAGAGGGGAAGGAAAGGAAAGGAGATGAAGGAAAGGTAATGGAGTGGAGAAAAGGAAAAGAAAGAAGGGAATAGCAAGAGGAGAGGAAAGACGGAGGAATGGATAGGCAAATGGAAGGAAACGGAGGAGCGGAGAAGGAGAGGAATGGGGGGAGCAGGGCGGCAGCTGACAGAACAAGCTGTGCACAGGCATCGGGCCCAGCCACACACACACACACACACACACACACACACACACACACACACACACACACACACACACACACACACACACACTGCTCCACACAGATGGTGAGACTGGCACGGCGCTATGTTTAACTGCCTCTCTGTTCCCTTCGCCTTAGAAATAACAACAGTTCGTTTTAATAAGGCAATAAGAGCGCCGAGGACCAGAGCTTTTAGTCGGCTTTTGTTTGCCGTCGTTCGTCTGCCGCAGCATGTCCCCCTTCGGGTTTTTTCTTCTTCTTTTTTTTGTTGGGTTTTCGTCTTTCCTGAGAAGGAGAGTGTGATGTTCGTCCCTCTGCGTTACGGACTGCGTTCAGTCCTGCGGCCCTAAGTCCTAAGTGGTGGACATTATGTGGTCACCAACGCTGGAAACGGGCTTTAAAACGGTTCGTTCTCATTTGCCGATGTTAATGTGTATGTTTATGCATTTGGCAGACGCTTTTATCCAAAGCGACTTACAGAGTAGACACAATCTTACATTGATCATCACTATGACAATAAGCTATATAGAGGAGAAACACTGATCAGAGTCAGTGGTGAGATAGAGATAGAGGTAGAGGGACTATAGAAGGAGCTGTGGGGGGTAGAGGTACGGGTTAGGGTTAGGATAGGAGCTGTGGGGGGATAGAGGTACGGGTTAGGGTTAGGAGAGGAGATGCTCTTTGAAGAGGGGGGTCTTCAAGAGTTTCTTGAAGACAGACAGGGACTCTGCTGTTCTTGTAGCTTGGTAGGTCGTTCCACCATCTTGGAACGACACATTCAAACAGTCTGGATTGTCTTAAGCGTGGTGAAGGCTCTGCTAGACCACAGTCCATTGATGACCGGAGTGATCGAGTTGTGACATAAGCCTTTGCGAGAGGATTCAAGTAGATGGGAGCCGTATCCTTAACTCATTGACTGCCAGCCATTTTCAGAACAGAGAGTCCCGTACTGCCAGAGTTTTTTAAGCATTTTGACTGATTTTTCAAGAGCCACAGAATAGTTTGTGCTATGACTGTGTAAACACAGAACACACCAAAAGAAAGAGTAGACTCTCTTCTTTCATTAGGAAAAAACATTTGTTTCTACCTTATTCCGTTTTTCTTCGACTTGCGTCTCACCGGCGACATGTTCTCTCATAGCGAACCGTTGCCTTTTTCTTATTTGCCTACAGTCTATGCTCATCTCCCATCAAAAGTGGCACTGCCACCTAGAGGGTCAATTTGTTACTACATACTCTGTCTAGAAGCCTGATATTTACGGACAAGCTTTAGCAGATCGTCCCCCAGCCACTCTCGTTGAAAAACATAAAAGACGTCTATAGACGTCTTTGGCAGTCAACGGTTGTATTTGAATTGACGTCTATAGACGTTTATGGCAGCCAATGAGTTAAGCACTTTGTAGGCTAGCATCAGGAACTTGAATTTGATACGGGCAGCCAGAGGTGCCCAGTGGAGTTCAATGAACAGAGCAAGAGAAGAAGAAGAAGTGAGAGGGGATTTCTGGGGCGTGGAAGGGAAGGCCGGTTCCCCCCCGGTGGACGGGGCCGGAGCCAGTAGGACCCTCGCCATGGCGACAAGAAGCAAAAGCGGAAGTGGAACCGGATACGAGTGACCGTGGCGTCTCCGGGGAGGCTGGACCGGTGCTTCCCGAGCCTCTGATGGGTCAAGCTAAAGAAGACACGCCCACTTCCTGCCCATCGTCCTCGGGGGGGCCACTCAGATGCTCCTTTCCCGAACGGTCAAGAGCGACATTTCGCTTTATTTCCCCTCTCCTCAGCTTACTATTCGCCCCATCTCCTCCGCCAGAGGGGAAATCGTTTTTTAGATTTAACGTGCCGTTCAGTTAGCCCGGCGAAAATCTGCCCTCAGGCTTCAAAGTTTCAGCATCTATACACAGTAAAAGAGAGATTTGTTTATTTATCTCTACGTATCCAGGATACCAACTTCTGTTCCAATTTGTTTCCCACCATCAAAACAGAAGCAGAATAAAAGGAAATGTGGTTATCTATGTGTTAGTTTCGCTATAATGTGATTTATCTCGCACAACTTTCATTTCATGGATCCGTTCTGCTTTGATTCTTTGATCTTTTTAATGAGACAAGGCAAGAAAAATCCTAACAATACGAAGTAGAAACACGACAGGCTTCCAGTCGCGGGTGACATAAATCTAAGGCGGTCTTTCAAAAAGCCGTAAAACAGATTCAGGGAAACTTTTTCTATGAGCTCTGTCTTTCGCCAGGTGGTGGCAGTATAAGCTACACCGAATTTGTCACGCCTGGGGGAATGTCTCGTCTTGATTACCTATTGTGTACACCTGGGGTTTCCCTCCCTCATGTGTTTAAATAGTCCTCGTTTCCCCTTGTCTGGTGCGGGGTCGTTCTTGTCTGCTTGCCTTGTCTCTTGTCCTTTCGTCCGTCGTCACCCCCACGCCAGGTTTGTTTCGTTATAGTTCTGCCACAGTCATAGTCACGTTTTGTCATAGTCTTGTTTATCTTTATTTTGTTACTTTGTCAAGTCATAGTTTTTGCCACAGTATTGTTTGCTCATTGCTTTGTTACTTTGCCCACAGTTTGCCACAGCTTTGTTTTGTACTTTGTCTGGACATTCACCCTGTTTTTTGTCAATAAACCTTGTTCCCCTCATTCCGCGACTGAGTCCTCCCTCCAAGACCCACCCCCGTGACAGAATTATGATGCAGAAGAAGAACACAAACACAAAAGCTGAGGTGGACATCCACAAAATGATGGCGTGAATTTTAATCTCTGGTTATATCTGGGATACTGTTATAATTGTTTATTGTTTAGCACCTAAAACCAGCATCATTTTTAGCT